TTCCATATTTGCTTCCATTTTGGAACCCAAATCTGCTTTTTAGCTGGTTTCCAAATTTTTTTCCAACCTTATAATTTAAATTGAATAATCAATGTTAAGTACAACGTTTTAAACGTTTTAAAATAAAAAGAAATTTGATGCTTTTATCAAACCTTCTTTCCAAGTAACTTTTTTTTTCCAAAATCCCGGATCATGTTCATGTTCGTGATGATGGTGATGATGATGCTCATCTATGATGTCAATGTGAGCATCATTTCCAAAGTCAATTCGTTTTTGTAAAACATCTGCGCTATTCTGCTGTGTGGGAGAAGAATGCTGATCTAAAATCGCCTTACTTGAGACTAAGGCAATGACCGACAGTGTTTGAAGTACAATGCTCTACAATTAATAGTAAAATATACAAAAGGAATATTATAATAATATTTCATTTAATTAATACCATATTTAATAAACATAAATAAATTAAAATTTAAGAAGATTAAAGTTAAAGTTAAAAATGTTTGCTTAATCCTTTGCGAAGTTTAAATATCCTTTATCAAGATATACTTATAATTTTCTATATTTAGTTTCTCAGCTTACAAATGTTAGTTTTTTGTCTTTTATTAAAACAGATTTGATTAATAAATTTTTTATAGTACACATCAACTAATAATAGTATAATAATAGTATAATGTAAAAATTATATTCATTCAGAAACTTTTTTGAATATATGTGTATTTTAATGCAGACAGGTCTTTTAGATTTAAAGATAAATAAAATTTTGATTTCTTTTTTTTCTAGGTTTTCTATCCGATGGTCTTGATTTGAAGTGACATGTGTCGAACAGGATGGTAGTTCAATATTTCATGTGTTCAGTTTCAGGCTTGCCATTTTACAATATAGATTATTTCACAATTTGCAAGAAATATCGTGACAACGGTATTTCACATCGAATTCTTTGTAAATGAGGCTTATTTTTCACTCGATATATTTGTTGATAATCAAAATTTATACTTTAGAGGTAGTGAAAATCTATAAATAACTGTCAAATGTACTGTAAAGTTGACACCTATTTTATCAAAAATTACGAAAGTGTGACACAAACGGTCAATAGTGATCACTGTCAATTTTTTTGCTGTGACATTGAATACATCGATGTGGTAGAAATGTGGTTTAAAAGAGGGGTGCCATAAGGTACACAGAATTTCTCGTTTTGGCTTTTTTGCATGAAAAATTTCTCGATTTGTCATGTCGAACTTTTTTTGTGTATATACAAACAATCCTCAAAGTCTCAATGCTTTAAAAGCGAACATCTGCGAAGTTATGGTAAAGGTATTGTCGGTTATGTACCGACACATAATCTTTAAACAATATTTTCAACTTTGGAAATATAAAACAAATAATAGTTACTAGGGATCAGATTACTAGAGATATTTTTCTAATGCAATCAAACGAAACGTACATATCCCCACCAAGTACTTTAATTTTTTTTCCACAAAATATTTTTTAAAATATAGCTATATATTATATTATAAATATATAAAATGAAAATTTTTAAGTAAAATTAAGTGACAAATATAATTTGAAATCAATTTGTGTTATATTTCCGAAATTTAATTTAATGGAAATATCGTACGCACCCATTTTATATGAGGTATGGTACTGATTAATTTTTTAGTAAAATTTAATAGTAAACTTAAATCAGAAATAAATAATCAAGATTTTTAATGTATAATTTGAATGAATTAATTGTTTATATTATAAATAAAATTTAATCAATTACCTTTAAAACATAATTCATTTTACAAATTCTGAAATCGCAATGAATCCCTATCTTTTTTTATTCTAGTAACTTAAAAGAATTTCAGCAAAATTTAACGTGATGAGATTAAAATCCATTCCATATGTGAATGAATGACCCATAAACATGAATGACAGATTTTCAAAAGTTTCAAGCTATCATTTAATTGAGTTCATACGGAAATGTTTACAAGGAAAAAATATAGTGAAGGTAAGGAATATTAATATGGGGACCATTCATCAACAGTTATTTTTGACCTCTATCTCCACTCTGCGGTACAATAAATAAAAACGACTGGAAATATAATCATAGATCGTAAGTGACAATCGCTTAAGCATTGACGTAATTAGTATTACCTTACCTTACCTTACCTTAGTATTACCTTACAAACACTTTGTCAATATAAAATCTGCAGCTAGATATATTGGGCTAATTAATGGATATAATACAAAATATTGTTTGATATTAAAAAATCAATAGAAAAAATCCACAAATTATACGAGTTTAAATTAATCGAATATTCAGGATTGCTTATTAGTAAGGAGTAGAAATGCTTTGCTAATACAAATTTATTAATATGAAAGCTAAATATTACAAAATGGCTATATGACTATAAACAAATCTAAAATCTAGACAATACTTGGATTAGACATAGAAACTAAGAATTTTCAAATGACAGATCATGGTCCAAAACAACACAAGTTCAGAGACATTTCTTAATAAGAAATAGTGGTGAGTTGTTAAAGTTAATCAGAGCCAAAAATATTATTATCAAAAAATATTGATCAAAACTTAAAGGTTTAACATAGATTATGATTTAGATAAGATTAGATCAACCTTATGTAGAATTATTCTAGAGTATACATCAAAAGCGACAAAGACAAAGAATATTCGCGTATGTATTAAATAAATTTTATTGATAATAATGTGAGGGCTATTACATTGAGAAACAGAAGAAATATAGCAAAGAACAGAGAAGAAATTAGGAAAACACTAAACTATACCAAAACCCATACCGGGGCATATAGCTAACAACCCGGTATGGGATGTAAGAACAATTAGGTTGTTAGTAATTATTATTATTTCCATACTCCATTAGGAGCTTAAGGAGTCTAGAAAAGTTTTCCACTGATTTCTATTTTGTGCCATTGCACTTAACTCGTTAAACGATTTGCCCGTCTCCTGTTAAACTGTCCTTCTCCAGGTCATTGCTGATCTGCCTCTTCGCTTAGTTCTCTATGGGTTCCAAGTAAGTGCAGCATGCGCTATATCTTCATAAGGCTTACGCAGTGTATGTCCAATTCAACCATATTTCTTTCTTCTAATCTCGCTGTTTACGTTTGTTTGGTGCGTTATTCTTCATAATACTTCATTCAAAATCGTCCTAGACCACCATATTTGTAATATGTTGCGCAGGCATCGATTGATATATGATTGCAATCTTCTTTCGATCTCGGAGTTAGCAAGCAAGGTACCCGACCCATATCGGCATACCGATTTGACGCATCCGTTAAAAATTTTTACCTTGGTGTTGGTACGTATATTGTAGGCCCGCCATAGGTTACGCAACCTAGCAAATGATACTCGCGCTTTTTGAATGCGGCTATTAGCGTCTTTTTACGCACCTCCATCCACCGATAGAATGCTCCATAAGTAAGTAAAGCACTCGGTGTCTATGATGTTATGTCCATTGATTGTAACCGAGTTGAGTTTTCGGTTTTTATACGCATTGTGTTGTTAGTAATAACAGGACAGAAATGGTTAAATTAAATTTAACAAATATACAGTAGATCTCCCTATAAAACTAATTCACATAAATCGAAATCCCTCGGCCATAAAAATTAATGTCTATTTGGACTATGTTCCAAATAGTCTGCAATTTTAGAAATAGACGAAGAGCAAATTGACGTCATGGTTTTTGGCGTTTTTATTATTCATTAAATTGTTTAAATAACTTTCACCATTCCTCTCACAAGTGTCAACACCAATGTCATTACTAAACATTAATTAACGTTGAATACTCATCAATGTCGCTGGTGTGTCGCCTGTAAAGAGCTATGCTTTCATAAAGATTCTTTGCAAAAATGGTGAAAAGTGTAAACTTTTTCAACATTTATTGATATACACCACAAGGCGAGTTGAAAAACTTTATTTGAACTTTATTAACGTAATATTTATCAATATTAATACAATAAATACTGCATAGCATTGAAAGTACTTCTCTTTTTAATATGAATTCCCTTTCCAAATATATGCATATATAATATTAGAAACGTATCATTTTATTTTATTACTCATACATTCCATTTATTAGCACTAGCCCCATTCCCCGCATCAGCAATAAATCAAATATTTATTTAATAATTTAAGCTTATTTTGTGATTTTGATGGTCTATACATCTCTAAGCTAAAGTTTTTAAATAGGTCATTAGTAGTTTTGATGTGGGTGAGGTCATAGAGTGTAATTTTGCATTTCATTTTGTAAGATTGTGTAATATCCTTTTTTGGACATTTCTCTTTTGGTTGAAATTGTTACGAAATCACCAAATATGTTGAACTTTCCTAAAAAGTGCGATTGGCATTGAAAAGTTTTTTGAATATGAAATTATTTGTGCAAATCCCATTAAATCTATTTGAATACGTTGACCTTATATTTGTGGTAGGTTAGGAAATTAATTTGCAAACCAGCAGAGGAATGATTGTAGGCGAAAATTTGACATGGCTCAAAAATTGAAAAATTGAAAAATTGATCTTTTGCAACTTTTTACCTATGGTCTGGTCTAATGATACAATGAACTATGTTGTGTAGGTTATGCCATAAGTTTTCGTGATTGATATTTCAATAATGAGTTGCATATTTTGCTTAATTTGAAATAAATTCACCAAAAATAGAAGAAGAAATTTTATGGAATCAAATTAAATGTTGAATATTGAATTTGTTTTTTATATAGTTTAGTTGTATATTTTTTTATCGTTTTATTTGCAAACCAATTTAATTTTTCTATAATAATCATTTAATTCAAAACACGTAATAAAAATGTGTAATTTTTTAAGACTTAATATTTTAATGAACTATGGTGGCTAGCAAACATCACGGAATATTTATTAAACACCCAGATGACTGTCAAGTGTTTAGACTTTGATTTATGCGGCTTACTTATCAAGAAGCAGGTTTTTAGAATACGATTGGTAATGCAATTATTTGGTGCACAAATAAAATTTAATAATTATTAAAGAAATTAAATTCTTTTTTCACGTTCGTTTTGGCGAAAGAAACTAAATTTTTAATATAAATTAAAGTTTTCAATGGAGAGGTTTTTAACTAACAGAAGTAATATTGCAACAAAAAAAAATTATTTTATTATTTTCAATTAATGAAGTTTCGATATTGGAATTATTTCATATATTTAGTTATTAGTAAATAATTTTTTGACACTTCAATTACCTAGGGTAGAACAGGTACCCTCCCAAATTTAAAGCTCAGAGTCAGAGCTCAAGAGCCAATTGACCTAAAGCCAAGAACGGCTTGTATGTTCGAACTTTAAGAAAATAAAAAAAAAAATTAAATTAAATAACTATTATTTGAGAAAATATTATGCAGTATTAATTCAGTTTAACTTTTATTATATAAATATTGCCCATAATTTTAATCATTTGCAATAAAAT